GAAACATCTCCTCACATTTTCACAAGGCCTTTCAAGCCAGATTTACAAATAGTCAATAAATGGTATTGCAAAAATAGTACTGTGGTATTTAATGTAAGTTTAACAGGATAATACCATATAGACCTCAGCACTGAGTTCATTGTGTTGTTGTTGTTGTACTACACTACAGTAACACACTTCCACCACTTCCTGGTGTTCTGGCGCAGAGTGTCCACTGGATGGAGCACAACACAAAGGAAAGACAAGCTTGGAGTCACTGTACTGTAAACACTGATATATGTGGAGACACAGTTTGTTACACATGTACAGGATAACCCAGTGGCGTAACTATCGACGGGGCCCAGAGCCGGACAGGGGCCCATGCAAAAACAAAAAAAAAATAAGTTTTTACATTTGGCCAATGGCATTGACCGGTTCACTCAATCTTAACCTGTTACGCACCGCCCCCCCACGGTACAGGGCGGATAAACGCGTCATTTGCAGGAAACAACGTCTAAGGAATCTTAAAGGGCCCATGTCATGGCCATTTCCACTGATCATAATTACATTGTTGAGGTATACTAAAATAGATTTATACTGTGCAATTTTCCAAACTCACATTGGTTTCGCATACAGCATCTCTGTCAAGCATGTGTATTCAGCAGTATTCACTCTCTCCACTAAACGACTCGTTGGAGCTCTTGCCCCCCCCTCCCTGTGAGCCTAGTGTGCTCCGATTGGTCAGCTCGGCCACTCTGTTCTGATTAGTCAACCACCAGAGAGGCTCCGCCCGCTTTTTTCGGCTCGCTCTCAGCGGAACATCAGTCTTATAATGGCGTCGGTACAGCCGTATATTTTATACGCTAACTAACCGAACTGTACCTACAACTGTTGTTATAGAAGAGTGTGACGGCCCCAGGGCCTTTGTGCAGGTGTGTTGCAGGTCTTACGATGGGGTGGAGCTGAAGAGGCTAATCAGCGCGATCACGGACACCTCCGGAGCCGAGGTGCTATTAAGCCCAGCTGCCCGGAGTCACACGGCGGCCCGTCTCTCTCCAAAGCGGCTCGGCGATCCTCTCCCCTCGACCACCTATCTCTGCATTTACCACAATAAATGTGCCGTGGTTTTGTAAACTCGTGTATGTCTCCTTGTCTTTCTGTTGTGGCCTACAAGCCGGTCATAACAAAGAGTAAGTTATTTTTACCTGTAATAAACTACTACTGTTTGATGAGAAATCAAATCATGGTTTGCTATATATGAATGATATGTTATAGGAGCAAATAATTCAGGGAAGAAAGGATAGGCCTACTAAGTATTTCCATTAAACTTTATTTTTAGAAATGTACAAAATGAACATAAATATACATATATACACGGTATATCATCCATTCCTCCCCGCATCTTGCCTGGGCGCAGCCGGTGCTTTTTAGGACGAGGCCTCAGTGTGGTAGTCCCGTCCCCGTCATGTATTGTCCGCCAGGATCTGGCTGGACGAAATCAAATGCAAATCACAAAATATTAGAGAAACTTAGTTGTTTTAGATTCGTTAGTAGTAGTTGTGGTAGGAGTGTGGATCTATCTAATCCATCTAATGAACAGCTTGCCAGCTAATATGCTAACCTAGCTTTCTTGTTTACTTTGGTAGCTAACACGATATGAACGCTAGCTCGGAGGAACGGCAACTATAATGTAGTGTAATAAAACTACTATGAACAAAAGCTAGTGGTTCATATTAGGCTAGCAATAACGTGTTTATAATTGCAATCTTATACGGGTATTCTGCTACGTTCGGTCATACATTGTAACTTGCATGAATACATTGTTTTGCGCTAGCATGTATAGCTAGCCTCGTTAGCTATACATGCAGTATGTACATGTACTGTCACAATGTACGGTAAATCACCCGGAGTATACTGTATGAGTATTCCGTGTGTGTGACTGCAGACATTCTCCTGCCATGACAAACATGTAAGGCCATCTGCTGACATTGTAGTTGATATATTTAAACGCTAGCAGCGTAGCATAACACAAATGTTTTTCTGAGCAAACCCATGTCTAGCTCCGTTGGTTAGATCTGTAGCATACACGCTACGCCAGCTATAATGTAATTACGTTTCGCGACTGACCGCACGGCAAATCACCCGGAGTATACTGTCAATAGGTATTTTGTGTGTGAATGCAGACATTCTCCTGCTATGAGATACATGTATGCAAGGCCATCTGCTGATATTAGAGTTGATATATGGAAACGCTAGCAACTTAGTTAGCACAGTTAGCACTGTGTCAATGGCTTAGCAGTCCGACACAGTTTACACATTTAAACAGTCTTGTTTGATAAATACACAAATAACAATGCAAACTTACAGGTTGTGTACCCGAATCTTCCCCTGCTCCAAACGGTCCAAACAAACTAGGAATAGCATCGTCCTTCAGTTTCAAATGCTGTGCATATCCGGCCTCAAACTGGGCAATGTTCTGGAAGCTTTCGTCTGTGAAATGTCGGTTCTTCGAACCTCTGAAGGAACAGTGTTAAAAAGACATTTCAACCACTGACTTCGTCGTGGTTCTTCCGTCGGTAGGACAAACAGCTCAGATTTCTCCTCACATTTCAGGAAACAGGTCCTTGGCAGTGGCATGACTGGATCGATTGTGAACTGAACCAGAGCTTCCAACAGTAAATGTTAGGCTGGCAGAGGGTGCGGCCAGCGCCGCTGGGTGTGGCCATAGCTCTTCGGGATTGGTCCATTTCGTTCCGGGTACCGCATGACATCATGCGGTACCCGGAAGAATCAAATGGGCAGTGACGTATCTCCAACGAGGCGTTTTGGGGAGGTATTTTCTGTGTCAGAGTTTTACTCGCTACAGGGTGTACTTTGAGGGTTTTGACTCTGCACACCGTTTACATGCATAAAAACCTTCATAACACACAAGGGGACGGGTAATAACCGGAAAAGCATGACATGGGGGCTTTAATATTTAATAAACTATGAATGTTTTATATCCATGTAACGGGAAGAAACTCAGCTAACTGATCTTTTTAATTTTTTTTCTCCAAAAAAACCCCACAATGCTAACAGTCAGCCTCTGAATTACCCACGAGCGAAAAAATGTAACCTATCTCTGCACCTAAACTCACTCATAACTCCCTTATTACTTATCCTAGATGCACAGCCAACCCATCGATTAGCATCAGCTGGAGACACAGAATATGAGGGTGCCCACCTCAACACTCAGTGATAAGCATCTGCGACGCTATAAACGAAAGCGTACATCATAACATGTGGAGCTATGTAGCTAGAAACGCTAACATGGCTTACCTTGGTCAAAACTGGTCTTCAATGGCATTAAAACGATAAAAAAACGATGCTGCAGTTAATCCATAGGTTAATCCAATTTGTCTGTGTCCTCTTTGAAATGATTTCTGATAATCCATAAGCAATAAAACTGCTTTTTCGTTTCCAAATGTCAGAGCGAGAGATCGGTCCACTCTGCTGCAAAATTACATGCGCGAAGCCTCCACCTCTTCTCTTCACAACGTGTGTGTGTGGGGGACTCCCCCTTCGATTATATTGGCTCTAACGGTCAGAAAGAGGTGTCAACCATCAAAATCGACCAAGGGGGGCCAGAGATATGGAAAAAATATTTGTTCACCCAAATCACCTCAGAGGTGGGGTGGTTTTGGTTAAACCTCTCTAAAAAGGTCAAATGTCACTTGTTTTGCATGAATCTTGATATAGGGTACTTATTATGTTGTACTTTGGATTCCTAAAGCTTTTAGTCTACTAACCCATCATCCAAGGGTAGTTTTCACTATCTGTAAAAAATAATCTTTGGACGGACACTATAATTTACAGTTTTTTACTATGTAAAATCTGAATTTTGTTTCAAATAAAAAACATCTATATTGATTCTGACACTTCTACATCCAACTCACAGATGTAACCTTGCTTTGATAAAAGAAATTATTCATATAACCCTTTTAGAAGTTAAGTTGTAGTCATTTGTTTTGGGCATGTCATTTTCGAGCCTGAAACATGAAAAACAGGCTTGGTGCTTAACAGGTTAAAAAAAAACAAGCAACCTAAATGAATTTGTAATTTGTCTCTCCAATGACCTTGCTCCCTTTCATGACATGTGATACCTTGCGTGACGAGCGAACCCTTTAATCAACCTGTACTGTACTGTAGCTAGCAGCAGCAAGTTCGGTAGCATTATAAAAAATGTAATAGCTTGCATTTATAATTTGCAGCAAACCAAAGCACAAGAGCAGCGCCCAAAAGAGAAAGGACAAGAGAGAACAAGGAGATGTAACAGCTAAACTGACAAAATTAGACAATTTTTTTTGTCATACATCGTCCTCGAAATCGAGCGCTAACGTTAGCAATGTTGATGTGCAGCGGCAGCCGGAGCCGGAGGCTAACGATAGCTCACCTGCCTCACCACCATCATTGCCATCTAGCTCCACAAGTGAAGCTGTATCCGTGGCTGTGCAACCTTCTTCTCCAGCCAGCCAGGAGGAGAGGCTGGATTTGGCTGTACCCGGCAGTGGTCCAACAGCTCCCCCAAGGGCCCCAACCGATAGGGGACTCTATGGCGCTATTGAGACCCCTGACGCCAAGATCAAAAGCTATATTATAGCAACCGGTCTATGTAGGCCTACCGGCCCATTCCCCAGAGACAAACATCAAGGAAACAGGTTTAATCCTCTTCTTAGTTCGCTGTGCCGTTGTCAGGCTGTGGTGATCTGAGGCCAGGGCAGGCTGTTGTTGATAGCCTATGCATGTGGCATTGCTATGAATGCATTTTCATAGCAAAAACTGTGCACCTCTGATCATCTTTCCTGTCATAGTCAACTAATCACTCATCTCATTTCATGTGTTGATTTATTATTCATTCAAGGGAACCTTTTTTTTGTTCATTAAAAACACAGTGGTTTGTATCTGGTCCAGCTGGCTTTGTGTTGCTTCCCTTTCCCGCATTGACAAAATAAAACAAACTCACAAAACAACTTCATTGTTCGTTACCATTTTTTATTGTATTTTTGTATTGTAAGAGGGTCGTCCTCTCTTTAAAATGAACAAAACATTTTGTTACTTTATTTTTAAAAGTGTTTCCAAGTGGAGACCGAACAGAAAGACGACTGATAACAAAAACAATAAATACTTTGTGGAGCAGAGAGAAGATTTCTGTAACTTTCTACCACTGATATTCTCATAGCAGTAATCAGTGTAAACCTGAAACATGATGTGAGCGACACCACCACCCAGTCCAGTTTATCATTAACCGTGGTGGAGTGGGGACGGGCGCTTTTAATTCTCTGGCAGTTATGATAAGGAAACTCTTCATACCCCAAAACGGGTAATTTAAGTAAAAAAAACAAACAGACACTACTGTCATGGTTAAAGCTGGAATACAAAACTAATTCCCTAGAGGACACGTCGATGGGAAGTGATGGACGTCGGCCGGAGTGATGGAGGCCGAGGCGTTGGCAGGTCGTCATGAGAGGAGGGGTCCGCATGAGGAAGAGGAGGAGAATGAAGATGAGGAAGGGTTGTTTCCTTTTCGATCCTCTCATTCTATATCGTCCTCGCTCAGACTCTGTGCACTCACGATACGCTGAAGGACAGGAAACAACAAGCGTTAACAGAGAGGAAGTAACCAATCAGGATGAAGATGGAGAGTCAGGGAAGTGTTTTTGTTTTATATTTTATGCAGATTTTTGAAATGTAATTAGTGGTGGAAGTATTTCTCTCCTGTAGTGTGTTCTATAGGTTTTAGTGCATGTAAATGGTCTTGTGAGGCTAAAATCCCAAAGTTTCCTCCATAGGGAGTTTCTCTCTCCTGTTCTCCATATTGGCTTTTTTATTTTTCCTTGTGTTATTTAAAACTGTCTGAATTTAAAAATGTTGTAATGCTTTGAGAACAGGAAGATTAATAGAGATCCAAAAACAGTATTGGAGCCATTTATAATGTTGTAGTATTTAATAGTTAAACATATAAAATATCACATTTAATTTGTATTTAGTGTCATTTTAATTAATTAATTTAGAGTATTTGTTTATGTTTTCGATTGAAGGTGGAAACGGGGGATTTGGTGTTTATACGTAGACAGGTGGAGAAATAGAATATGTTTTTTTTTTACCAAGGCAAGAGAAGATTTAAGAACATTATTCCTTTTTCTTTTAATTGATGAAACCTAAGAAAATAAACTGCACAGCTAAAATTCTTGCCTGGACAAAGCACCTTATCCCAGCAGCAACGTGTGATACCTGGTGCAACAGCAGCAGTTTGACTTTGTGTAAGAGTAGTGCTACCTGGCTGATGCTGGGCAGTTTGGTGAGCAGCATCTGGAAGACGGGTGGAGGCAGAGTCTGCTGCAACACCTGCAGCAGCTGCTGGGGCTGCCCACACACTGCGATGGCGTTGGTCAGGTGGTCCACGCCTTTCTCATAGTCTCCTGTGGAGAGGAGACAGAGGTGAGGGAAGTACTCAGACACTTCACTTAATAAGCCAGCCTAAAAATAGTCATGCATTCAAAATGTTAATTAAGTAAAAGTAAAGAAGTATTATCAGCATAATGTTTTCCAAAGTTGTAGTTTGTCATTATGGAGCCATTACTTAGTACAGTACTGCATCATATGATGTAAGTTAATGTGTTTTTGTTATTTAAAGAGTAACACTTTGTCAAACCAAACTAGAAATACTAAAGTACAACTACTTCAAGTACAAGTATCTCAACATTGTTTTTAAAGGGGCCCTATTGTGCTCATATTCAGGTTCATATCAGTATGTAGTGTCTCTACTGGGACATGTCTCCATGCTTTAATGTTTTCACCCTCTGTCTGAAACCAGAGCCCAGTCTGCTCTGGTTGGTTAGCTGGCTGGCTCTGTTGTGATTGGTCAAACGCTTAGAGATGTCCCGCCCCTTAGCCTTTCATGTACGATGTGTTGGAGCGCTAGCCAATAGCTGTGTGTAGGTGCGTGGAGGTGTGTGTGTAGGTGTGTGTGTGTCTGTGCGTGCATGACCTAGCATTACTATCCTTGTGGGGACCTAGATCTGTTTACCTCCCTTATGGGGACATAAGGGCAATCATTAATTTTAGGGTGAAGACTTTGTTAGGGTAAGGGGTAAGCATGTGTTTGTTATGGTTAAGGTTAGGTCTCCAGGAAATGCATATAAGTCAATGTAATGTCCCCTGAAGTGATTGAAGTGTGTGTGTGTGTGTGTGTGTGTAAGTGTGACCTAGCATTACTATCCTTGTGGGGACCTAGATCTGTTTACACAGTCAGGTGTGGGGACTCGCCTCCCTTATGGGGACATAAGGGGAATCATTAATTTTAGGGTGAAGACTTGGTTAGGGTTAGGGTAAGGGTTAAGCATGTGTTGGTTATGGTTAAGGTTAGGATAGGTCTCCAGGAAATGCATATAAGTCAATGTAATGTCCCCTGAAGTGATTGTGTGTGTGTGTGTGTGTGTGTGTGTGTGTGTGTGTGTGTGTGTGTGTGTGTGTGTGTGTGTGTGTGTGTGTGTGTGTGTGTGTGTGTGTGTGTGTGTGTGTGTGTGTGTGTGTGTGTGTGTGTGTGTGTGTGTGTGTGTGTGTGTGTGTGTGTGTGTGTGTGTGTGTGTGTGTGTGTGTGTGTGTGTGTGTGTGTGTGTGTGTGTGTGTGTGTGTGTGTGTGTGTGTGTGTGTGTGTGTGTGTGTGTGTGTGTGTGTGTGTGTGTGTGTGTGTGTGTGTGTGTGTGTGTGTGTGTGTGTGTGTGTGTGTGTGTGTGTGTGTGTGTGTGTGTGTGTGTGTGTGTGTGTGTGTGTGTGTGTGTGTGTGTGATGTGTGTGTGTGTGTGTGTGTGTGTGTGTGTGTGTGTGTGTGTGTGTGTGTGTGTGTGTGTGTGTGTGTGTGTGTGTGTGTGTGTGTGTGTGTGTGTGTGTGTGTGTGTGTGTGTGTGTGTGTTACCCTGAGCCAGCAGCTCCTCCCCCAGCTGGATCTCCTCCAGGAAGAACTTCTGCACCGCCTCAGCGTCCTTCAGATCGGGGAGCTGCGGGACAAACAGCCGTCAATAACAGGAAGTCAAACTGTTTCTGAGTGATCAATAATCAGATCTGATCTGTGAGCCAGTCGTACTTTTCAAGATGCAAACGCTTATTGTGAAATACACACTCGATACAGCGCAGCTTTGGCAAGGGAAACCTTAGAGCACATGTGTCAAACTCAAGGCCCGGGGGCCAAATCAGGCCCTTGGTGGATTTAATTTCGGCCCACAGAATAATTTCTAATTACTAGATCTGGCCCGCCGGTATATTGCACGCACACCTTCACTCAATCCTGAGGGTCTCCTCAGCTCAGAGCCTGACCCCAAACATTGATGAACTTGCACCCAAGATGAGATGCCAAGTATCTGGCTTGAGCTAGCATCACAGAGCAGCACACTGAGTTTCAATTGATGTTTCCTTCTGCACTTTTTTTCTTGAGACTACAGGGCATGTTTGGTTTTTTCTTTGAGGGAAATAGTTTTTTTGAAGCTGTTGTTGGCCTGTGGAAAAATGTAATCATAAGAAATGACTGGAAAAGCTGCAGATAGAGCCATAAGAAATGAATGCAGATGGAGCAGATTTAATGTTTAATGTTGTTTTTATAGGCAATCATTTAAGCTTTGTTAGTTCCAGGTTTAATATGTGCAATGAGTTCATTTTAATAAGTTTTGCAATAAACATTGAACCAGTCCGGCCTTCGACTAGTACCGATTTTTTTAATCTTGGCCCACTGTGTATTTGAGTTTGACACCCCTGCCTTAGAGCAAAGGCTCCTTCAACAATTCAACACAATATAGACTAGATAAATCATAATATAATATAAAATAAAAGACTAATACAGGAAGTAAAGCTTTTAAAATAAAACCTAAAAATAGTGCTTACCAATTCTACTAAAATATTATTATTATTAGAATAATAATTAAATAATATATGTATTAAAATAAAAATAATAATATTTGATTAAGAATCACTTTTATCATACTAATACTAATAACACTACTACTAATAATAATACTAATTAATGTTGTCACATAATCTGAATTATGGATTGTATTTTAATGGAATTCTTGAATTTATGGGTTTCAAAGAGAAAGAGAAAGAGAAAGAGAAAAACAACAACAACAACAACAACAATATGGTAAATAAGATACAGAGATGTTTGCACAGAGATTTCCTCAGGCAAAATGTTTTATATATTTGAGAAACTAAGAAATATTTGTATATATTTTGCAACTTAACCATTTTCCTCTTACTATGAAGCACACTGTAAATGATTGACAGGAGATAAGAGGAAGCGTTACAACACGATAAGGACTGTTTGTGCTCACCTTTGCCATGCCCGCCCGGTCTGTGGCTACCTGCTGCTTTCTCCTTCCTGCGACAGAGACACAAAGAAATACAAATTAAGAACCAAGAAATGGATTTAACAACCACCTGTAAAACAGCAAGATTTTTATTTTGTTCATGGCTTTAACTGTTCCTTTAAAATGTAAAGTAACCTTGATTTAAGTGGTTCAATCACTGGGAGATATCATTCTCTATTGTCTCATTTTTAGAGTTTTAGAGTAAATACATATTGTACTTGTTGTACATTTGATGAAGGTATGTTGTCTACATTACTAATCATAATAATAAAACATGTCCCCGAAGCTGCAGAGTTTGGGTTTAGGGATGGATAGGAGACCGGCTGAGGTCGATCTGAGGGACCGTTGGGGTTGGTAGGGGGTGAGGAGGTAGGGAGGGAGGGGGCAGATGGGGGAGGGATTTTTAAGTAAGGACCAGTAAGACGGGAAACCAGTATAGTTCAAGTTCATTAAGTACTACAATGGAAATAAGTCTTTAACTATGTAGATTATGTCATCCATGACATTTTACTGACATCTGTTTTCCAATAAATGTAACTGAAAACGTTCATCATAATAAAAATTAGAAACAGCTTGACACACGTGTAAAGCACCAGCTTTGCTCCCTAACTATCATAGAAAACCTGGTATTTCTCAACACCTGTGTGAATCAGAGGGAGGGAACACAACCAGCAGACAGTGAGAGGAGGAGCTACAGTGGAAAGAGGAGAGCTTCACATCACACTCAGGAAACGAAAGTTAAGTTAGTCAGAGAGGCAGCCACACTGCAGTCGAGACTAGTCTCTGTTTCTGTCTAAAGAAAATACAAACTGAGTTCATCAGATCTTTCTCAACAACACAGCAGAGTCTCTGTCAAACACTGGTGAGTACATCTGATTATATTTACCCTTTCAACAAGCAGGATTAACACAAAACTTCAGCTCTACTCAGACGAAAACTCCACCCTTTACGTCCAACTTGTTTTTCTCTAACAACATAATATATATGATGTAAAGTCCACTTTAAACAGTCTCTTTGTACTTTAGTAATTTGAAACTGAATATCTCTGTTGAATCTACATTTTGCTGATCACTTCCTACATAATGCTTTTACCCATTTCCTCTAGCGGTTTCAAAATAAAATCTTTCCATTAGAGAAACAGTTGGAGGCTTTTAATGTGAAGCAGCTAGAGGAAATTAATAATTATGGTCACACAGTTAGAAGAGCAGTGTTATTTTTCAATTAAAGCTCCCATGTCATGCTTTTCCGGTTATTACCCGTCCCCTTGTGTGTTATGAAGGTTTTTATGCATGTAAACGGTGTGCAGAGTCAAAACCCTCAAAGTACACCCTGTAGCGAGTAAAACTCTAACACAGAAAATACCTCCCAAAACGCCTCGTTGGAGATACGTCACTGCCCATTTGAGTCTTCCATTTAGTTCCGGGTACCGCCTGATGTCATGCGGTACCCGGAACGAAATGGACCAATCCCGAAGAGCTATGGCCACACCAGCAGCGGCGTGTTCCTCCTCCAGAGGTTCGAAGAACCGGCATTTCACAGACGAAAGCTTCCAAAACATTGCCCAGTTTGAGGCCGGATATGCACAGCTTGTTTGGACCGTTTGGAGCAGGGGAAGATCTGGGTATACAACCTGTAAGTTTGCATTGTTATTTGTGTATTTATCAAACAAGACTGTTTAAATGTGTAAACTGTGTTGGACTGCTAAGCCATTGACACAGTGCTAACTGTGCTAACTAAGTTGCTAGAGTTACCATATATCAACTCTAATATCAGCAGATGGCCTTGCATACATGTATCTCATAGCAGGAGAATGTCTGCATTCACACACAAAATACCTATTGACAGTATACTCCGGGTGATTTGCCGGTCAGTCGCGAAACGTAATTACATTATAGCTGGCGTAGCGATCTAACACACGGAGCTAGAGCTAGTTTTGGTCAGAAAAACATTTTTGTGATGCTACGTTGCTAGCGTTTAAATATATCAACTACAATGTCAGCAGATGGCCTTACATGTTTGTCATGGCAGGAGAATGTCTGCAGTCACACACACGGAATACTCATACAGTATACTGTACTGTGATTTACCGTACATTGTGACCGTACATATACTGCATGTAGCTAACGAGGCTAGCTGTATGCTAGCGCAAAACAATGTATTCATGCAAGTTACATTGTATGGTAGCAGAATACCCGTATACGATTGCAATTATAAACACGTTATTGCTAGCCTAATATGAACCACTAGCTTTTGTTCATAGTAGTTTTATTACACTGCATTATAGTTGCCTTTCCTCCAAGCTAACGTTCATATCGTGTTAGCTACCAAGGTAAACAAAGCTAGGTTAGCATATTAGCAGGCAAGCTGTTCATTACACAACTACTACTAACGAATCTAAAACAACTAAGTTTCTCTAATATTTTGTGATTTGCATTTGATTTCGTCCAGCCAGATCCTGGCGGACAATCCATGACGGGGAAGGGATTCTACTACTACTGAGGGTGCTAAAAGGCACCGCACCGACTGTGCGCAGGCAAGATGCGAGGAGGAGGAATGGATGATATACCGTGTGTATATATGTATATTTATGTTCATTTTGTACATTTCTAAAAATAAAGTTTAATGGAAATACTTAGTAGGCCTATCCTTTCTTCCCTGAATTCATATAGCAAACCATGATTTGATTTCTCATCAAACAGTAGTAGTTTATAACGGGTAAAAATAACTTACTCTTTGTTATGAGAGTAGCTCGTAGGCCACAACGGAAAGACAAGGAGACATACACGAGTTTACAAAACCACGGCACATTTATTGTGGTAAATGCAGAGACAGGTGGTTGAGAGGATCGCAGAGTTAGTCTTCCTGCAGCCGCTTTGGAGAGAGACTGTGTCCGGAGGTGTCCGTGATCGTGCTGATTAGCCTCTTCAGCTCCACCCCATCGTAAGACAAAGGCCCTGGGGCCGTCACACTCTTCTATAACAACAGTTAAAAATATATATGTATATAAAATATACCGCTGTACCGACGCCATGATAAGACTGATGTTACGCTGAGAGCAGCCGGGAAAAGCACTGACATGGGCGCAGCCTCTCTGGTGGTTGACTAATCAGAACGAGTGGCCGAGCTGACCAATCGGAGCACACTAGGCTCACAGGGAGGGGGGGGCAAGAGCTCCAACGAGTCGTTTAGTGGAGAAAGTGAATACTGCTGAATACACATGCTTGACAGAGATGCTGTATGCGAAACCAATGTGAGTTTGGAAAATTGCACAGTATAAATCTATTTTAGTATACCTCAACAATGTAATTATGATCAGTGGAAATGGCCATGACATGGGCCCTTTAAAAAATGATCGACAAAACATGTATTTTCATTGCTGTTTTCCAAGTTGCATGCTTGACCCTGTCAGAGTTAAATGGTCATGGTTGCAATACAAGTATAGTTATCAAACTTCTTTCTTTAAAACAATATATAATATGAATTGATGATTGATGTGTTTTCTTTACTTTCTCATGTGTGTAGATATGGCTGCTGCAAGCTACCTAAGATCTGAAGATCAGTTTCTCTGCTCCATCTGTCTGAATTTGTTCACTGATCCAGTCACCACATCATGTGGACACAACTTCTGTAAAGACTGCATCACTGAACACTGGGATACAAGTGACAGGTGCCAGTGTCCCATGTGTAAAGAGGCTTTTAATAAAAGACCAGATTTGAGGGTCAACACTTTCATCTCTGAGATGGTAGCTCAGTTCAGACAGTCGGCTCAACAGAAAGCCAGCAGCAGCAGCAGCAGCACAGAGCAACAAGTCTTCAAACCAGGAGAAGTTCCCTGTGACGTCTGCACTGAAACCAAACTGAAGGCCCTGAAGTCCTGCCTGGTGTGTCTGACCTCCTACTGTGAGACTCACCTGGAGCCTCATCTGACAGCTTCAAGCCTGAAAAGACATCAGCTGATCGACCCTGTGGAGAACCTGGAAGACAGGATGTGTCCGAAGCACGATAAACCTCTGGAGCTGTTCTGTAAGACCGACCAGACATGTGTCTGCATGCTCTGCCATGTTTCAGACCACAAGATGCATCATGTGGTTCCTCTGAAAGAAGGATATGAAGGGAAGAAGGCAGCGCTGGGAAAGAAAGAGGCTAGAAGTGAGGAAATGATCCAGAAGAGACAACTGAAGATTGAGGAGATCAAACACTCAGTGGACCTCAGTAAGGAAGACGCAGACAGAGAGATAGCAAAAGGTGTTCAGGTCTTCACTGCTCTGAAGGAGTCTGTTGAGAGAAAACTGAACAAGTTCATCCAAACAATAGAAGGGAAGCAGAACATGAGAATGAAACGGGCTGAAGACTTCATCAAAGAGCTGGAACAGGAAATCTCTCAGCTGAAGAAGATACGCTCTGTGGCGGAGCATCTCTCACGGTCTGAAGACCACCTTCACGTTCTCCAGGGTTTCCAGTCCCTAAACATCCAACACCCATCACCCACCAAGGACTGGACAAAGGTCAGCATCCCTCCATCATCATATGAAGGGACTGTAGTGAGAGCTGTGGTTCAGCTGGAGCAGACACTCAGCCAAGAGATGAAGAAGCTGCTTGAAGCTGAGCTGAAGAGGGTCCAGAAGTACGCAGTGGATGTGACTCTTGATCCTGATACAGCACATACTCAACTAATCCTGTCTGATGATGGAAAACAAGTCTGTGATGGTGATGTGCAAAAGAATCTCCCAGACAACCCGGAGAGATTTTCTGATTGTAATTGTGTTTTAGGAAAGCAGAGTTTCTCTTCAGGCAGATTTTACTTTGAGGTTCAAGTTAAAGGAAAGACTGACTGGGATTTAGGAGTGGCCAGAGAGTCGATCAACAGGAAGGGAGTGATCAAACTGAGCCCTCAGGGGGGTTTCTGGTCTTTATGGTTGAGCAATGTAAATGAGTACAAGGCTCTCAATGCCCCGTCAGTCCTTCTTTCTCTGAAGTCTCGGCCTCAGAAGGTGGGGGTGTTTGTGGATTATGCGGGGGGTCTGGTCTCCTTTTATGACGTAAATGCTGCAGCTCTTATCTACTCCTTTACTGGCTGCTCCTTCACTGAGAAACTCTACCCATTCTTCTGTCCTGGTGATAAATGTGGCCGTACAAACGCTGCCCCTCTGATCATCTCACCTGTCAGAGTCAACTAATCACTCATCTTATTTCATGTGTTGATTTGTTTTATTCAAGGGAACAAACATCGATATTTAGAGTCAAAACTGTAGAATTTCCATCTTATTTTCTACAAGATAAGTTTAATGTGGTGATTGATTAACATATGGTTTAGATTCTGTATACAACAGATAAGTCGATTCATTATTCAACTCAACAATCAAATCATGATCTCTTCAACACTTTATCGTAACACATGTGGAGAATATCTATATGAACGTTGGATAAAGCTACAAGATTTATTGTAACTTAAAAAAATGTTTTTTCTAATGACACCAAATTTGTCAAGCTATGTTAGAATTGATAATAACATTAAATGTATTATAATCAATTGTTATAAAGCTTCGTTAAAGAGAAAGGCCTATTACGTGCCTCTACTGTGTACTAAATAAAATATGTGTAATAGTTATACTGCTAGAAAAACTAAAATGAAGCTAAATAATATGATAAATCCTCATTTGTGTTAAAATGGTTTGGTTAATAACTGTTAACTTGTATATCTACATGCCAGGTTTTATATTGATTACTGGTAAAATGGCTTATGAATCAAAGACATCTGTAAATATGTGATTGTGAGTTCAGAAAACAGTAAAATAAACTAGATGTTTGGTCTGAGAAAGCAGGGACTCGAGGTTCTAAACACTGAACAGGAAGGCCTGGTTTGCATATCATTTGTATTTCATGACACATTTCCTGTGGCTAATTCATATTAAAAACAATACATAAGTTGATGGCTTTTTAGCTTCTTTTTTTTTCCACTAGCAGTGATTGGATATTGTACGGCTATAGAGCAGAAGACAGGAAGGAAAAAAACACAGAGAGAAGAAGAAGAAGAGGAAGAAGCCGACTCCGAGCTGTCCGACTTCAGGCGAGCTTTTTGAGACCTCCCTCGGCTGCGATCGGCTATTCTCGTCTACTTTCGAGGCGAGCCGCAGCTAGCGAGAGGAGGAACTACACTGGAAAGAGGAGAGCTTACACGTCACACTCAGGAAACAAATGTTACATTTGTCAGAGAGGCAGCCACACTGCAGTCGAGACTAGTCTCTGTTTCTGTCTAAAGAAAATACAAACTGAGTTCATCAGGTCTTTCTCAACAACACAGCAGAGTCTCTGTCAAACACTGGTGAGTGCAGCAGATTATATTTACACTTTCAACAAGCAGGATTAACACAAAACAGCTCTACTCAGATGAAAGCTGCACCCTTTACATCATACTTGTTTTTCTCTAACAACATAACCATATGATATAGAGTCCACTTTAAACAGCTTAAACAGTCTCTTTGTATCAGCTCTAAGTACTTTAGTAACTTGAAACTGAATCTCTGTGGTGAGGCGTTTGTATTCACTTCTGCTTTCCTGCTCTCATTACATTTTGCTGATCACTTCCTACATAATGCTTTTACCCATTATCTCTAGCGGTTTCAAAATAAAATATTTCCAATAGAGAAACAGTTGGAGACTTTTAATGTGAAGCAGCTCGAGGAAATGAATCGCTATGGTCACACAGTAAGAAGAGCAGTGTCATTTTTCAAACGAAAACAAAATGGACAAAACATCAGTTCCTGTGCTCCATCTGTCTGGAATTGTTCACTGATCCAGTCACTATACCATGTGGACACAACTTCTGTAAAGACTGCATCACTGAACACTGGGATAGAAGTGACAGGTGCCAGTGTCCCAAAAGGAGTTCTACACAAGACCTGAGCTGCACGTTAACACTTTAATCTCTGAGATGGTATCTCAGTTCAGACAGTCGGCTCAACAGGAAGCCAGAAGCAGCAGCAGCTCGGAGCAAGAGAGTCTCTGTACTGTAAACCAAACACTGATATATGTGGAGAGACACAGTTTGTTACATATGTACAGGATAACCTCTCATGTTGACCAAGGACAAATGGGTTTTTCAAATGGTGGTCAACTATGACCATGCTACCTGCATATGTCTTTGTCAAGAGATTTTAGTTGGAGGCAAAAAATAAGCCTGCTGTTACAACAGTTTACATTTTTCTAACAACCCTAAAAATGCTCAAAGGCATCCATCAATGATTCTAATTAACCAGGAAGATTTTTTGGGCTAAGGGTAGCAAGTGATATAAAGTATTATTACTCTTCTGCTTGTCATAGAGTGCCTACAGAGCTCAGTGATTCGCTTTGACAAAATAAACTCATCTATAGGTACAGTAACATCTTAACACCTGTAACACCTCATTTTAAGTCAGGAAAACTGAGAAAATTAAGAAGCAAAATCCCTCGTCAAATATAAACTGGAACAGTATCCTCTTTCGCTTTTAGCCAGGGAAAATGTGTATGTCACTTTAATAATGTGTAAACATGAGGAAGATAAAACCTAACCAAAAGAGCTGCAGTAAGAGGCGGGGCAAAACTGGAAGGGCAACAGATCATAATCCTTAAATCAAACTCAAGGCATGCAAGTTTTGCAGTAGTATTACGATAGTGGAGACAATTCTGTTTCTCTGTAAATTAATATTAAACTCATCCAGTAGTCAGCTCTTACTCAACTACACATCAGGGTCTCTGCTACAAGGGTGAGTAGAGCTGTCAATATTTAACTATAACTGTATTCTTTTGTTTGAAGACAATCTTGCTCCACCTTTTGTGCAAATGTTGCTGCATGTAATCAAAAGTATAACATTTTAAAAACGATTAGATTTGTATGGGATATGTCAGACATATTGGACACAATCTCCTAAAGGTACAAATAAGCTTCAGGACTCAGGGTGGGGTCTTCTCTATGGCAGCAGTTGCCATTTGAAGACTGTTGAAGCTGGTAGATGTTGGACTGGCTGAGTGAGTTTCGGCCTGTTTAGCCTACAAATATTTACACCATATGTTTGTCTTTAGCTTGGTTATGCACCATTGGCAATTTATTTTTGTCCCTACAACATTCAAAATGCAGGAGGAACAGAATCAGGCTTACATTTTTGTATTTTAATCTCGGCTAGTTGGCATAGTATATGTAGTGCCGTAACTGCAGGACTACATATACTATCGTTTGATTTGAATTAGGGCTGCACGATATTGGAAAAAACTGATTTTTTTCCCCCCTGCGATATATATTGCGATATGAAAAAATACAGGAATTGAAGAAAAGACAGTTTTTTTTGTCCGCAAACCATCCTTTCTTGAACTTTAAATGCTATACAATTGGTATTTTTCGAACTATATTTAACCGGATGAAGGATTTTAGTCACGGACATCTGGATCTTAAGTTATCAGAGCAACAAGCTGAGCTAGCTCGGTTAGCAGCGCCGAACTGCCCTGGAGAAACACACGAAACTACTTTATTCAGTGTTTTTACCTTTAATCACCGGGTCCGTTTGCTTTGGAGATTTGATTGTGATTGGTGGTTTGCTGTGCATGCAGAGCCTGCATGTCACTAATGTCGCGTTTCCACTACACGGCCTCGCTCGGCCCCGCTCGGTATGGCTGGGCCTCGTTAGGACTGGCTCACTTTATGGCGCATTTCCATTACAGTTTAGGAACTGGGGCAGTATCTATAGTAACGCAGTGTAGGCGGAGCCGTGACGTGATCTTCAGAGGACCCCAGAAAAACAACACAGCCGTTAGCTGTTAGCACTCAGAGCTCACAGCTCCTCATATATGTTCAGAAACTAGACAACAGTTAAACAAGTACAAACCACAGACTGCCTGTGTCATGGTGAATACAGTCGCTGCTTTATTTATGTCTGTATAGGCCGTTGTTGTGAGTGTGGACGGTCGGGGCATATACTGCGTTAGCTTAGCCAATCTCCATTTAGAAAACAAGCATTTTAAAAGGTTTTTCCCCTGCCGTCTGTCTGCAGACTTGACAAAGCATTAATTCATGGTTTTTACTAACCGGTATCAGTATGTTGTTACTTCGGCATCATTTTGAAACGTGTATTACAATTAAATCACGGTCAAATATGTCCATCTTGTTGTAGTTGTTGCCCCCTTGCCAGCGACGCTCTCTCTAGTTTAGCATACTCAGCCCGACTCAGCCTCGTTGCCTCTGGCCCTGGCCCCACGATTTTATGAGGCCAGAAAAACTGTGAATTAGGACCCGCCGGCCGGTACTAGGCCAAGTGGAAACGCAACCAAAGACGGGCCGCTGACGTCACAGCCCTCTTAAACCGGGCTGCGGGCTGTAGTGGAAACGCGCCATTACTCAAGTACCCCTGACACGAGAGCAGCGCGAGTTTTCCTTTTGTAGCAAGCAGCAAAAGAATTGTAACATGACGTGTTTGAGTTAATTTACCTACTCAATATCGCACGTCCTAAAAGATAAAGGAAAAAATTGCACGTCCTGCGATGTGACTATCGCGCATATCGCGTTTATCGTCACGACACGATATATCGTGCAGCCCTAATTTGAATCACAATGCACACTAACTTACATAACGAACTTAAGAGTTAACATGGAGGGCATTCAAATTGCAATGTTCGAAGCAACAGCTAACAATTGAGCAGCCGGTTAATTTCTAGTTTTTTTTTTAATTAACTCTACCAGTGTTAGCCAAATAATTATACCCTGATGTTGGGGATGCCCTGATTCAATACACTGGATTTAATACTAAACATATTCATCTATTCAGGTATCTGGAAAGCGTCACCAATCCTCTTTAAATATAGTTTTCTGTTTTTTTACATTTTATGTGGTAAAAAAATTCCTACATGTGCATTACATTAGCAAGATGTCTGTATATAACACAGCTATGTCTACTTTTGTTTTCAATGTGCAGATATGGCTAGCTGTCTTCTATCTGAAGATCAGTTTCTCTGCTCCGTCTGTCTGGATTTGTTCACTGTTCCAGTCACTATACCATGTGGACACAACTTCTGCAAGAACTGCATCACTGAACACTGGGATACAAGTGAAAAGTGCCGGTGTCCCATGTGTATGGAGGCGTTTACCATAAGACCTGGTTTGAGAGTCAACACTTTACTTTCTGAAACGGTTGCTAAGTTCATAGAGGAAGCTAAACAGGAAGCTAGCAGCAGCAGCTCAGAGCAACAAGTCTTCAAACCAGGGGAAGTTCCCTGTGACGTCTGCACTGAAACCAAACTGAAGGCCCTGAAGTCCTGCCTGGTGTGTCGGACCTCCTACTGTGAGACTCACCTGGAGCCTCATCTGACAGCTTCAAGCCTGAAAAGACATCAGCTGATCGACCCTGTGGAGAACCTGGAAGACAGGATGTGTCCGAAGCACGATAAACCTCTGGAGTTGTTCTGTAAGACCGACCAGACATGTGTCTGCATTCTCTGCCATGTTTCAGACCACAAGATGCATGATGTGGTTCCTCTCAAACAAGAATATGATGAAAAGAAGGCAGCGATGGTGAAGGCAAATGCTGAATCTCAGCAGATGATCCATACAAGAAGAAAGAAGATCAAGGAGTTCAAAGAATCAGTTGACTTGAGTGAAAAAGATGCAGACAGAGAGATAACAGAAGGTGTTCAAGTCTTAACTGCTCTGATGGAGTCTGTTGAGAGACAACTGAACCAACTTATTGACACGGTTAGAATGAAGCAGAAAACAACAGAAGGACAGGCCAAGACTTTCATCAAAGACCTAGAGCAAGAAATCTCTAAGCTGAAAAAGAGAAGCGCTGAGATAGAGCGTCTATCACACTGTGATGATCACCTTCATTTTCTCCAAGGGTTCCAGTCCCTAAAAATCCAACACCGACCACCCACCAAGAACTGGACAAATGTCAGCTTTCATCCATCATATGAGGGCAGTGTGAGGAGAGCTGTGGCTGAGTTGAAAGACTCAATAAGTTTAGTAATGAAGAAGCAGCTGGAGGCGGAGCTGACGCAGCAGGAGGCGGAGCTGAAGAGGGTCCAGAGGTACGCAGTGGAGGTGACTTTTGATCCCGACACAGCAAATCCTGAAATTGTCCTTTTTCCTGATGAAAAACACGCACGTCCTGTTGAGGCAAAGCAGGATCTCCCAGACAATCCAGAAAGATTTTCTGATTGTGTTTGCGTCCTAGCAAAGCAGAGTTTCTCTTCAGGAACATTTTACTACGAGGTTCAAGTTGAAGGGAAGACTAACTGGATTTTAGGAGTGGTCAGAGAGTCGATCAACAGGAAGGGACAAAACCGACTGAGCCCTCTGTGGGGTAACTGGTCTATATGGAGAAATGGAAATGAGTACGAAGCTCATGATGATCCTCCAGTTCCTCTCTCTCTGAAGTCTGAGCCTCAGAAGGTGGGGGTGTTTGTGGATTATGAGGAGGGTCTGGTCTCCTTTTATGACGTAGATGCTGCAGCTCTGATCTACTCCTTTACTGGTTGCTCCTTCACTGAGAACCTCTACCCATACTTCAGTCCTGGTTGTTTTCACAGCAAAAACTCTGCACCTCTGATCATCTTGCCTGTCATCAGGGGCGGGGCAGGGGGTGCCAGTGCCCCCCTAACACTGACTTTGGACCCCACTGTGGTCCGGCTGAAAATGAAAAAAAAAAAAAAAAAAAAAAACCTTTCCTGGCTGACGGAAAACTAATGCGATTTGTCATTCAAACCCATTAGAGCGTAAAAACTGTAACTATAAGTATCTGAAACAAATACCAATAACGGTATTGCATTGTTTTCTTATGCGCAATTACTTAATACTGTCTTTGTCTTTTTCGTCCTGCATTTATTGTGCCCCTCTCAAAAAAATTGGTCTAGAACTGCCACTGCCTGTCATAGTCAACTAATCACTCATCTAATTTCATGTATTGATTTATTTTTCATTCAAGGGAACAAATGTACATATTTAATGGAAAACTGTATAGTTTGTTTTATTTTCTACATATTAAAGGTGGGGTAGGTAATTTTGGAGAAACCATCTCGAGATCGCTAGAATTTGAAAATACACAGCCGGAAAAAATCTGCCACTTCCTTATAGAGCCCCTCCTCCAACACACACGAACGCACACATGACCAATGAGGGCACGAGATAAGTTTGTGCACAGATGGAAGGCTGACAGGCAGGTAGGCCATCCAGTTATTTTAGCCGGGCCGGCTCAGATGATTGGTCGTGCTTTTTACAGCGCTACGGCTTCCACAGATGAAATTTTTTTATGTATTTATTGTCAAAGCATTTAATATATTCATTGCTATCGGGATGTTAAGAGCATTCCATGGAATATAACAAAAAGTGTTTCTGAAATAAATGACATACCCCACCTTTAACTTTACTGTGGTAAATTACCTATCTTTTTTTGTATGTATTGATTTTTAAAAAGGGAAAGGGATGTGCATACATCTTATTTCCAGTGGTGACTCGTCATTAGGGGCAGGTAAGCTGCAGTAGGTAGGTAGGTACACAGCCCCACCTACAGTCAGCAGAAATTAATTCAAATAATGATTAAAAAAATATGTATAAAATATATGTTAAAATATATTTTAAGATCATGTTTAGTCGTCTGATTCGTCTCTACATTGCTGTTTTAGTCTGCGTTCTTCTGATTAGTGTCTACAGTGTGTCTATTGAGCCGTATAGAGCTGTCCAAGTGAACGTGTACTGTGAAAACTACACTGCGCATGCTCAGAGTCTTTTTGTATTCAATGTTTCCGGCAAAAAAAAAATCACAAGTGGGGCAAAGTGCTGGCAACCCCACCAAAACGTCATCTCATAATTCAGAGCTGATTGGCTGTAAGTATGTGTGCCGCGAAAAGTGTAGTTGTGAAGAGGAGACGAGAGAGAGCAGTGTATAGCGATTAAAATCAGTGAAACGGAAAGAAAATGAATGAAGTTGACCATCTACTTCAGCTTTGGTAAGTTCATTTTATGTCATATCTTTTGTTGATCTTCTGTGTTTTGCCTATAGGCTATTGCTCTGCTGGATCGATTGATATTGTGACCTCGGTGATGAGTGTCTGTGTTTGCCTTATATTTACAGTCAGTATGGTGTTTTAATGCTGAAGCATTACGGTTGTTGTTATTGTTAAGTATTGCTTTGTGATGGTGCCCTTTACTGCATGTACTAAGGTGCATTACAATATGACATCCCCACGCTGTGTACGTAAATGTATGCGCTGACAGTGTTGCTCCGTGCTCTTCATTCACGGCTTCCAACAGTATGTCATTTGACACTCCCCCCCCCCCCTGTCTCTATCGGGACCATGGATAGCCTACAGCTATTTGTTTACGTGTTTAAAAAAGCACTAGAAGCTTATATATAAACATCTAAGTTGTTTCTACCCCACCACTTTTGTGCATATAAAAACGCCACTGCTTATTTCTGACATTGATTCACACATCATTGTGAAGATTTAGTTTATCATCTGTATCACAATACATGGGCAACACATCATTTTGTTGCATTCATCTCTCCAACCCTGCATCGTGACCCACATGTGTGCAGATTACAGTATGAGACAGTATATGAGATATTAGTAAAGTGGCTTATGAGTGAAAGAAACATCTATATGCAATTTCTTTAAATAAATACAGTAAAAATAAATAAAAGCCTTGTTTATGTTGTATTGAGTGAGTGAGTGAGTGAGTGAGTGAGTGAGTGAGTGAGTGAGTGAGTGAGTGAGTGAGTGAGTGAGTGAGTGAGTGAGTAAACGTAAACTCCTACTCATGTCATTTTGTCATCTCCTAGCACGGGAATAACTAACAACAACATTTTGGAAACAAAAAACAATTAAGCTTTAAAAAGGAGACTGAATAAAATCAGAGACTGCACCAGACTGTTTAAAAGTGTTGGTCTCCTGCACACAGAGATATAAAAGGTGGAAGTGTTTCTTTCTCCTTAAGCCGCCTCATGTCACTGTTTTGAAAAACCCCATTAGGCGCTTTCACACCTGGGACTCCCAGCAGCTTCTACTGAAGCCTTCCGAGTAAATCGCCAGAACGCCGACACCTCCTCATCTCCACCGCTCCCATGTTTTCTTTTGTGTTGCCATAAGTTAGTTTCTCTGCGTGTGTGCGCTGGGCTAATGCTAATGCTAATAATGCTAATGCGAGGATAATAAAATGGCGGCTTCACAAAACTTTTGGAGTTTTACGGGGCGTGGTTTGCATTCCGCCCAGCCAATCAGACATAGGAACCTTTTTCTCCCACGAAAACCTGCTCTTTAGCAGGGCCGGAAAAGGGGGTAAAAAGGTTCTCATGAACTCATTTTAGTTCCGGCTCTTTTTGGTGTGAACGCGACACAAATTGCATTAAAGACCAAACATTTGAGTTTATAGCTGACACTAAAATGGTGCAGAACAACAAAGAAATATGTATTTCAATGACTGATGATACTGCAGGGTAACTTGTGAATTTAGGTGTAACTAAAGTCTGATTTATGGGTTTATTATATATCATATCAAATAATCCAAATCTGGAAGTACACAATATACCTCTGAATTGTAGTGGAGTAGAAGTACAAATTGGCATCAAATGGAAATACTGAAGTAATGTACAAGTATCTAAAAATTGCACTTAACTAGAGGAAATGTACTTACTCTCCACCTCTAGGAATAGCCATACACATCTGTAATTCTCCTTTAGCTGGTGTTTCTTGGTTGTTTACTAAAAGCCAAATTAAACCGCAGTCCTTGTAGATTCAAGTAAGGTCTTTATATTCAATGCAAAGAATCATGTCAATTTCTCAGTTAATGAGACTACTTAAAATATAAATTGTATTCAATGTTTACATTTTGGGATTTTGATAGGCATACAAACTGTCTGGCCATTATACAAAATATATGTTGTTTTTGTGCATGCCTTTATACATAATAGTGTGTTCTTTGTTATCGTCTCTATCTATACTTTGCTGTAACAATGTACATTTCCCCTCTGTGGTATGTGACAAATAAAGGAATTCTGAGTCCGATTCTAAGAAGAAGTCAACATCATCTTCAGCCTGGATTTAAAAGTAGTAAGAGTTGCAGCGGGCCTGCATGTTTCTGGGAGTTTGTTCCAGATCTTTGGAGCATAATTACATTACATTACATGTCACTTGTTAGACGCTTTTATCCAAAGAGACTTACATATATGAACAGGAGTAGTTTGGGGTGAAGTGTCTTGCCCAGGAACACTAAGACATGCCGACTGCAGCCGGACTCAAACTAGCTCTCCCCTGATCCGAAGATCACTATTCCACTGAGCCACATCAGAATCAGAATAGCTTTATTAGTCCCACAGAGGGGATATTTACATTGTTACAGCAGAAAAGAGCCAAAGACAGCTTAATGTTACCTAAAGCATGCTTACAAAAGATATACATATTGCACATTACATGTCGCTTGTTAGACGCTTTTATCCAAAGCGACTTACATACTCAATACTGTGGGCAATCCCCACAGGAGCAATTTGGGATGAAGTGTCTTGCCCAGGGACACAACGACATGCTTGCTGACTGCAGTGGGGTTTGAACCTCAACGCACAACCCACTGCACCACACGCCTCCTAGTTTGGTATTTAACAACAAGAGGTGTTATAGACATTACGGACATCCTCCATCTAATACCTGAACACTGCTTATTCATGTTTAGTTAGTTTAGCTCTGGGGACAGAAAGCAGACCTGAAGACCTGAGAGTTCTGGATGGTTCATGTATGTTGTGCCCTAAATCATTCAATGCTTTATAAACCAGCAGCAGTATTTTTGAAATCATGAACGTCATGAGGTCTGGAAGCCAGTGTAAAGACCTCAGAGCTGGAGTGATGTAATCTTAGTGTTAGTGAGGTCTCTATCTGAATAAGCTGCAGCTTTCTAATATGCGTTTTAGTGACACCTTTAAAGACACCATTAGTTAGTCGAGTTTACTGAATATAAAAGCTTTTCTAAATCTTGCTGTGACATTAGTCGAAACACACTGGACCGGACCCGACCTCGTAAGCCCGATGAAGGTGAGGAAGAGCAGGAAAACAATGTAAATGTCCCCCTGTGTGAGACTAATACAGGTATTCTGATTCTGAATCTGAATAAAGCAGTTGCGATTGAGAAGAGGTCAACACTCACGCTGTCTCAGCCTGTTCTTGAAGTTGGGGTCACTCCGTCTCTTTTTGTCGAAATAGATGCAGTAACCGACGAGCAAAGCGCCGCAAACCCCGGCCGCCAGAGCACTGGACCTCCCGCCCATCATATCTCCCGTTTCCCGGTCGGTTAGAGGAGGATTTCGGGTTAATTTACGGTGTTTTCTCCGGCGGTTGGTAACCGTTAGAGGGACTGGTGGAGCGGCTCAGGAGAAGAAGGACCCGCGAGGACCCTGCCGTTTGACAGCTTGTTGTTGTCTGGGGCAACGCCTGACTGAAAATATCGGGAAATAAATCGTTTTTTGTACAGATTAAGGAGATGCAAAGGAGATTATTGTGGAGGATTCAGGGAGGAGTTTGCCCTGTAATTATTCAATTTATTTGTTTATTTTAATGGTGATTTTAAATGTAAACTGTAATTATTGGACACAGGACAGCCTAATCTGTAACCGTGCCTGTGTGTTCTGGCGTTGACAGTGACATCTTTATTTATCATGATTTGAATCTATCTATTTTACGATTTTTACTCAATTTGGTGCTGCATCTATTAATTATTCTTGCAACAATTCTATCTACAAACGTGTGCAATTACTATTGTTCCCTTTTAATGTGTTTTGTAACGTTTTGAGCTGTACTAAAGAACTATTACATGTTGTACTGTGAATGTAAGGGCATGTGGCTATAAAGTATACGAGAATTAAACAGTGTGCCATAAAGTCATTATCAATCAGCCTGTTAATTAATTAATACAATATGTTCTTATATACTCTGTTGTGTAGTTAGCAGTTGGGTGATATTTAACAAAACATCATTATTGAATATATTTGTATTACTTTTGTTATACTTAGTAATACTATAGTATACTAATAAATAGGGTCTGTCTCATCTGGAAATGCAAATATATTTGTGTTACTGTTTAACAAGTGACACACATATTTGATGCTGAAAAACACTCAAATAAAAATAATGCAAAACACACTACACAATTTCGATGTTGATAATTTAACCTTTTATTCATGATATACATGTCAATAAAGTTTATTTTAAACTGCCTCATAATTGTGGTTCAGTAATGAAAGGACGAATGTCAGCCACTTGAGGGCAGCATCACTCCAATTAAGGGCTTTCCTATTATGAGAGTGTGTGTGCATACGAGAACAGTAAAAAGGGTGTTAAAAGCGTTGTAAATGAAGGTTGAATATTTAATGTAATGCTGAGGGGTTTAGCATAGGTTACAATATGTGGGATTCATTTTCATTATGTTAAATTTGGAAATGTATTTCCAAATTTCTGTCTTAATTTCCTTATTTCAATTGTCAATATGCATGTCAATTGATTTTGATAATTTTCTAACATTTCAATTTGTTCATGGATTTGACAAAACTAATCTTAAGCAATGACATGCACTGATCTCAAGAGACTGTCTTAATAAATAAAGGATACAACTGTAAGCAAGTGAAAACATTTCAGCTTCTAATTTAGGTGAACTGGCCCTTTCAATAAATGAGATCCATTCATAGATATATCATCCACGCATCTCCATGTACTTTTTGTCGGTACAACCAACATGTGTAGCAGTCCTTTTCTTCACTGCAGCAGCTGTTTTTTCCTCTCAGGGATCAGCACTGATAGAAGTGAAAGTGTTAAATATGTTCCTGTGTCACTGACGCTGAGTCACACAGACACAAACAGACTGAAACGAGCATCATGCCCTGTGGCATTGTGGGTACAGTAGGTTGAACACACTGCAGGGGTAGCTGTTGGTCCACCGCAGCCTCCATCAAACACACACACTCTCAAAATACACTCAGTCTGTCACAGTCCAACACACACCAACACATCCACACACACACACACACACACACACACACACACACACACACACACACACACACACACACACACACACACACACACACACACACACACACACACACACACACAGTCCAATGGTGTGGATGTGTGTAAAGTCTGCATCCTGTCACACTGTGATATCTTGATATTTGTAGGCCTGATGGTTTAGGATTTACACAGTCAGAGCTCGTACTGCAGCATGAATGAACACTGAAATGTGTGTACTGTGAATACTGTATGTGCAGCAAGGCAGAAACACATTCACAAACACACACACACACACACACACACACACACACACACACACACACACACACACACACACACACACACACACACACATACACATTAAAACTGCCAAGGGGGTTAACATGAATGTGACTTCTCCTCACTGTGAAAGCAGGGACACAGGTTTGAGCTTGAACTACAGGAAGGCTCAATTTGTTCTACACCCTGATTGCTTTTGGGGGTTTTCCCTTTCCTGTAGTGAGTTATTTAGGTTTGTGTGCATGTCAATGGTCTGCAGAGGCTAGAGGGAGTTTCTCACCAACATGTCATGGAGTCTCAAAGTTATAAAATATTTCAACTTTGACTCCAACTTTGCTGGTGATCTTTTGACACGCAACCAATCAGATAAAATATATTAAGCGGTGCAAGCAAAAAATTCCCAATTTGGGATCAACAAATCACCTCTTATCTTATCTGATCTTATCTTATCTGAAGCTAGCAGGGGAGGTTACCATACCATACTGCACCTTACTGTACCTACAGAACATATTGTGCATTATTTAAGTGCAGCTGTACACAGGGTCTTCAACAGGGGATCCTTAAATATATGTAAATATAACCACATTAGCTTTTTTGCTAACTTGTTCGACAGTTTATTTATACCGCACGAGTGGTTTCCATCATAGAACAAGATATGCTTTTCAGTTTCCTAGCCTATTGTGACCTTCAGGGAAAGTGCATGTTGAGTGTTCATATAGTGTAATACAGTTTCAAATCAATCCAAATGATTGTGCCTGTTCAAATCCAAATAAAACACAGCAAAATGGTTTAAGCTGCAGAGTTAAAGACCTGTCTTCTTTCACCATTCAACCTACCTGATCAATCTCAATGCATATTATTAATGACTTATTTGATGCAGCCCCATCCTCGATGTGGTGTAATCAGTGTGAAAATGGTCCAACAAGCACTTGTTTTAAGGCCATTTATCTTGTAGTTTTTGTTTAAATCACAACTAGAAAACATTTTGATTACAAAATCCCAATTATTTGGAATATGATTAAATGTGTATTTCTTGTTTTGCAACTGTATATCTGAATGTAATCCACCTATAACAATCATTCATGGCCATGTTGTGTGTTTGTTGAAGGTATCTTTCAGCCTGTTCTGGTGTGTGTGAAGTGTGTGAAGTGTGTTTGCTTTGGCAGCGTCCTGCTCTCTGCAGATGGCAGCTCTCTGTGTGAAGCCCCATGTGAGGACCGTTGATATGGCCAAAGCTGCAGAGACAAAGAGGACCAGAGCGGTATGATCCAGCAAAATGGAGCGAATCAATGAGAATAATACCAGCGACACAATAAGTAAACTCCAAAAAGTTGTGTGCTTTTCCTCAGGCCTGCAGACTCAGCAGTTGTGAATATGTGCCCTTTTTTCAGCCTTCTTTATGCATGCAAAAACGCCTTCAGATAAACAACCCTCAAATATTTGGCCCTTTGCACTGTGGGAAACGTAGGCTCCTCCCATTAAAAACAGGTCATGTGACTGGTCGGTCACGAGGAAGATGATGCCTGGGTGAGCAAGAGGTGGAATTTCCTTCCTGAGGGGCGAGTGAGCAGCCGAGCAGAACAGGAAAACATGAAATATGGGTGGGCCGACTGCAGAATGTGGGACCCTTGCTTCAGACACACACACACACACACACACACACACACACACACACACACACACACACACACACACACACACACACACACACACACACACACACAAACACTCAGAAAAAAACACAGTCCTGAGCTGTGAGAGACTCTGGGGGATTAGTAAGAAGTAGGCTGAGCTTCGGTGGAGTTTCCCACACACACAGACCTATTTCCTAGGGGTGCTGGGGGTCTCAGTTAGTCTGCGGTGGAGAAATAAGGAGTAAATTAGGATTGTAAAGAGAAGGTGTGTTTTATTAGGATGTGATGGAATCTCCTCCAAACAAGCTGTGTGGGTGTGTGTGTGTGTGTGTGTGTGTGTGTGTGTGTGTGTGTGTGTGTGTGTGTGTGTGTGTGTGTGTGTGTGTGTGTGTGTGTGTGTGTGTGTGTGTGTGTGTGTGTGTGTGTGTGTGTGTGTGTGTGTGTGTTTGAACGTCATGAGGTCTGATCTCCTCCAGGTCATTCCTGAGTCAAAGGGGGAACACATTAAAAGTCTTCATCTGGTTTTTAACGTGAACATAAAAAACATTAAGATAACATGTGCAGCCCTGCAGCTCCACATGGTTCTGTTCACACACACACACACACACACATACACACACACACACACACACACACACACACACACACACACACACACACACACACACTGTATATATATGTATACAAGTTAGATACAAGCACATGTTTAATGGATAGAGCATTTCACAAAAACGAGGTTTCTCTCTCTCGAGTGTTTTTTATTTGAAGTTTGGGGTTTCATAATGAACATTGTATGCAGCCTTGGTCTGGTTGTTAACAGAGACACAACACATTGCCTCTCAGTGCGTAGGTGTTTTTAATTGTTTCTCGGAGAGCAATAAAAAAAGAACAACAGATAAAATAAAGCAATAGAAACAACACAACATTGCAACACAGGATAATTGGTCTTTGTCCTTGTTGTCCCAGTCCCAAGAAAAAAAGGCTAAAAAGAAAATAATCATGCATCTTTTAAACTCAACGAGGAACGGTTTTGAAGCTCTTCAGTCAGACTCTCCTCTGATCTATTTTTAGTGAGTTCATGTTTATAATGATAGAGTTCATCCGTCTTCCAGAGATGTGACTGCAAATTATTCCTGCCAGCCACAGTGTGTGTGTGTGTGCGTGTGTGTGTGTGTGTGTGTGTTGTGTGTGTGTGTGTGTGTGTGTGTGTGTGTGTGTGTGTGTGTGTGTGTGTGTGTGTGTGTGTGTGTGTGTGTGTGTGTGTGTGTGTGTGTGTGTGTGTGTGTGTGTGTGTGTGCTTATCCAATAGTGGACCTTTGATTAGTTACACATGTAGGGGACCTGTGAGTCATCATGACACATTTTGGAGGAAAAGAGTACAACAAATAAATTATAGACCAATAAAAGTATATATATATATATTTTTTTTTTAAGAAGGTATATTCTATTTGTTTGTATGTGTGTGTGTTTGTGTGT